GCAGGCTTACCTGGCAGACAGATCAGGGGCGCAGTGCTTGAGGTAGGCAAGCTGCAGAGCAAAGACTGGGTAGGGCGAGTGAGCGGTGACCAGGGAACTGGTTCGGGGGTGAGAATGGTCTCCCCTGGCCCTCCAGAAATGTGAAAAATCAGGTGGCCAGCACGTGTATGCACATTGGAGCTGACGGCTGGCGTGCCACCAAATATGGCTCCGTGTGCCACCTGTGGCACACGTGCCATAGGTTTGCCATCATGGCTCTATGGTATAAGGTTCTGGGACTTCTGCAAGTACCATTAGTGTGTCATCAGGTTACACTTTCATGGAAGCATTTTTCTTGTTCTCAGTTGAGCAACTGATGGAATTCTCAACAGAAAGCATACTACAGAGCTAGGCAGAGCAGTGGTTCACACATTATGCTTCATCATAAACTGCAATCAATATGTCATACAAACATGCCAACTGCTTTCTGCTAAAAACTTTGGCATTATCCCGAAGGGATTCTGATTTCTTATTAACTTTGATTAGGCCTTCCTTCCTTCCCTCCCCCCTCCCCAAACCTCTAACTGAGCCCAACATATAGAAGTTTACAGCTTCCAAGGTTTGCTTCTAGATTTGCTCTCATCAGAAATAATGACAGAATAGCTAAACTGTGCAAGCAGTGTTTCTCTTTTAGAAGTGGCAAAACACATTTGGCCTCACTGAAATAATAGCAACTCACTAAACTGTAAACTGTTTGATTGTTTAATCCCACTGCCAAATTATTAGAATTACTACAAATTACTATACTTATGAGGAAGAAAAAGTTAAAAAGTTGAAGCTGTTCCAGGATATTATTATTTCGTAAAAAGGATACAGAGCTGGAGAGTGGAACCAGTAGCTCTTTACCTAAGCAGAGGAGAAAAATAGGTTTTGCAATGTGTTGTAGATAAGGCTACCCTATAAAAGGACAAACTATAACTAATGTAGAATATAACAGCTAGAACAATCCATATACCATATTAAACAAATCATGCTAGCTGGCAACATCTACTTCTAATACGATCTAAACCAGTGTTTTTCAACCTTTTTTGTGCAAAGGCACACTTTTTTCATGAAAAAAATCACGAGGCACACCACCATTAGAAAATGTTAAAAA